TTTTTCATCCGTACTCAGGAAGTTTAACCCCACTCACCCTACTAAAGGATTTATGTATTCGTTTTTATTCTGTTGTTGGTCCCCACTTCGGTGTTACCATGTATATATATTATATAGTAATTTTTGTAGGTTTAACGTTTGCAAAAGTATGAATAATTCTAAATAATAAGGATGTTCTTATCCTTACGGCAGAAAGTCTTAGCCGTGTTGGGCACAACTTTTTGGAACTTTTGGTCCTCAGTGCTCTTCGACTTTGTACTTGTTTTGGCTTACAAACTTTTTATTTGCGCGTCACTGGTTGGTCTTGTGTGGACGAAGAGCGCGTCTGGCGTATTAAATTATTTTCCTGGTGCCTTTTGGTGGCTATTATTCGTGTGTTTCTCTGTCCTATATGTTCTCCCATTTATTTGTATTTTAGTCCTGTCATGTAATGTTGTCATTTTATATTTAACATTGCCATAAAAGCGGGAGGTTTGTAGCCACACAACCAGGTTCAACCCACCATTTTTTCTTAAAATGTCCTGTACCAAGTCAGAAAAATGACCATTGTTATATTATAGTTCGTTTCTGTGTGTGTTACATCTTAGTGTTATGTTTCTGTTGTGTCGTACTTCTCTTATATTTGACGTGTTTCCCTCATTTTTAGCTTGCAACCCAAGTTTGATTTTTTTCTCAATCGATTTATGAATTTCGAACAGCGGTATACTACTGTTGCCTTTATTTACCCATATATATGGATTCAACAAAGGATGGTGGCGGTTGGTATTTTTACGATGTTAATTTTAGACAATCAATGCAAAATGATGACACACTTTCTTGGCGTTATGTAGATCAAATTTTACAAACTAGGTCCCTTAATAAAATTATTCACAAAGTAAACAATCCAAACCCGATAAAAAACACAGTATATTATTTGATCATATTGAAGAAAGTCTTCATAACAGGAGTCTCATCAGGTATTGTACTTTAATACCTTAATACCTTATCTATTATTATGACTCGACAAAAATATTTCATATCTAGTGGCTTCTACCTGCTAAAAATTCAGTCGAATTTATATTTTAGTATGACAATTAAAATTTCTCGTTGCATTTATTTTTTTACCTTGCTATTCCAATCATAAACAAGCATTTGATGTTTATTTGAAAATTACAGATGTGAAAACCAGTATTGATTCTGCAGCGCTACAGGTAATTAGAAAAATAACAACTAAATGTTAAACCGCATGTTACAAAACTACAGAGAGAACCAACGAGAAGGTTTCTAGACTTGCATACAGTCCAGAACTATACAGATAATTTCTCAAATTAGAGAATCTTCATCAAGGCAATCTCTTTCTGATTTTACTGGTTCATCAGAAATAAAATCGTCTGATATTTCTGGCCGATCAGGGATAGAATCTGATCTGTTCAAACGAATAGCCATCAAGGCATCAGTGCAAATAAATTAAATCAAACAACACAAGTCAGAGAGGCAAGAAGCCAACCTCTAATAAAATGTACAAAGATGATTTTTATTCTGCTTTGGCTGCAATGTCTGAAGAAGAGTCATCATTACCGGTCCTCGAAACCAAACGGAAATGCAAATATTTCCCTGCTCCATCCGATTCTCTGAACCTGTTACGAAGCAAAACAGCTAAACAAAGGAAGGTCGTCCATGTTCATTCTTCCGACTCTTGACATTCACAAACACTAAAAAAAAGTGTTCGTGTTTCGAAGAAGAAAAAACAAATTCTGCTGTTTCCCATCCTGATGACATGTACAGGTATAATGCAATATGAGTTCTTGAAAGTGGACATTATCACCTGGTCTTACTGGTTGCTTAAAATATCTGAAAATTAAATTAAGGTACAGTTTAAAAATATGACAACTGGACAGAATAAATATTACAACATCAAAGCTACTAAAAAGGGGGTTCTCATGTATGACTGAATTCGTTCTTGTTTAAAAAAAGTTGTATTGCATTATAAAATTCGTAAGTGGTTAATGTGTCCCAGATAACAAATATCTGTATTCATTGTTATATATTAATATATTGTTGTTCTACTGTTATGGCTCTGGTTTAGGTGTACACCTACTTCAAATTTCTTCTTTTTCAATTATAACTTCTTTTTTAGGACATGTATGAATAAAAATGATTATCTTTTTAAGATGGCTGGGATATTAGTTTTTTTAATGCAATCACGTAAGTGAGAAAAGAAACATAGACAGTTGGTATGCATAGTTACTGTTTAAATGGGTTTTCATGAAAAGACATACGACATATATTGAACACTATTTTTTAGCATTTGTTTTATTTTACAAGATGAAATAAAATTGTATATGTATTATTCAAATATGTTTCAGAGCCAATGACAGCTCAGCCTTCATTCAGTGGGACGAAGAGAGGCATAATGAAGTTTGGCGACGTCAAGTTCAGTGTTGGAATCAATAATATGTCAGCGTATAAAAGTACAGGGAAATTTGTGGTAAAGAAGGAGGAACTTTACATATCATTTTTAATCTACGAATGGTGAACTCTTCTACATTTACCTGATGTCAATGTGATATCGATGACATAGATTGGTTATATCAATAGTCCTTCTTTTGACATGACCCATACCGGAACTGTTGTAACACTACAGTTAAGTCTTGATGATAGTATATGGGTATCCTATCTTAGATCTTTTATATGAAAGGCGGCTGATGGTCGACATTAACAATTTTAAAAATATAAACTAACACATATCCGTTAAAATCTTCTTCGATCCACAACCAATTATGACCAATACAACATTTTTCTAAATGGTATTAAGATATCGGCGACAATGATTGGTTATACCATTAGTATCTCCTTCTACAATCAACATACCAGTACTGTTGTTGTAGTACGATGTCACAGGGTGACTTTGTTTACTCACATATATGTTGTTATTTTGGTTGTTAATTCTATTTCGATTTGCAGAACGTCAGTATCTTATAAATGCTATATTCTGCAGACTTCGGTGTATAATACATGTCCACATTTTACATCTAATTAATTAAGTAGTGCCCACTATTTACTTGGGCATTTACCTGTAAACTTGTCGAACGGGTTGAGTAACAGTGATACCTGTATTTGATGAGCTGACTATTCACTCTCAGGTAACACCTTAACGAGTCAAGGTGTGGTCAGAAATGTTTGTATAAAGTTAGTTTACAATGTGGCGTGGACACACACACTGGATTTCTGAGGTAGGATTCAATTTATTCTTATTTATTTAATCATTATTCGTTCTAAAGTGTTCAGTTTTCTGCAACAACGCAAATATAGAAATATTATTTCAATTGTAATTGTAATTTTTGACATTGCTATTTTATAAATGTAATAAGTTAATTAATGTTCATTATAATGAAAGTTTAACACGGTTATATGTTTCCGGCTGTAGTAAATATTCGAGTATCGAAATTGTTTGGTATTTTAGGAACGTTTGCGTACGATAATGCAATGATGTATGTATCTCCATAAGTATGTAAAGTAATATGCAACGTATAAGCATAAATGTATATTCAGCGTTAAAAGCTGTATATTGTGTGTAGTAATTGTATAATGATAGTATACAATAAAGTCAATTATGTGACTTGTAAAGTAAGGCATTGTACGATATGCCGTAGTTTGTATTGTGTAAAGTAAGGCATTATACGATATGCCGTAATTATTTGTGTATAAGTAATGCATTATTCAATATGCTATAATCTTCTATAGATTGAACATAAGTAGTCGTACTAAGTATTTGTCATTATTTATGCGACATGTGTAATACATAAACATATGTATATTTCTTAAGTATAGTATTGTATCTTAAAGTACAGTATGTATTTCAATAGGTCCCAGTTTGCGGGCTAGGTGTATGTAGTTTTGTATAGTAAAGTATGGAGATATAGTACAGATGGTGGTGAAACCTGTTGACAGTGCGGCGTTCCGTGTTTATCATCAATAGTTTGGCAACATAGAATATTTGGAGTCGAGTCTAGACAATAGGGCAGCCGTAATGTGTACACCGCTTATGTTGGGCCAGTTTTGTGTAGTTACCGAAAACCAAATACGTAAAATTCCGTAGTATCGTTTATCCAGATTTCATAGTTTAATATAAAGAAGAAGGAACAGTTCATTAAACATTTGACAGTATTATTTCATTTGATTTCATCTATTTATATTTGTTAATTTGTACCTAATTAAATTGTTATTTTGTTTAAAGTAGTAGTCATTTATTATCTGTAAGTACAAACTCCTAAGTCAGCTCTCGTCTATCCGTGACAATTGGTGTCAGAAGTGGGATTTGTTTAAAAGGCTTAGAGAGTTTTCATTAAATTTAAATTTTCAATCTTATGTATTTTTGATTGTATTTTTTTTTCACCATGTATTTTTCCATTTGTATTGTTTTATTATATGTTTGAATTGTATAGCTTCAGGTGTTTGTGAGGAGAACTGAATATTTGGGACCCAGATTTCACAGTTGTGTCTATGTTGGTTCGTGCCTTGGAGGTTTGGTGTTGTTTCTGCTCTACATTGTAAACTGTGAGTATCGGTACTTACATATATTTAGTAATTGATTGTAGTACACTGAGGGTTGCAGTAGGTACATTGAGTGCTGGCGTTTTGTTTTTTGAAATTGGTGTTTGGTTTGTTGACTGTTCAAGATGGAACAGATTCAACAGATTAGAGATTTGGGTACTTCATTAGGGTATGAAGATGATGAGTTGAGAAGGTTTGTTAAAGATCAGCAGGATAGGGTCCGAGATGAAAGGGCTGCTTTAAGGCAAGAACAGAAAGACGAACGAGATAGAAAAGCAGCTATAGAAAAAGTTTTGATTGAGAAAGCTAAGGTTGAGAATGAATTGGAACTACAAAAGTTGACGCATAGTCAGAAAATGGAAGAGTTAAGTAAACAAGCTGAGTTACCACAATTAGTAAGTACAGGGGGGTTACATGATACAGTTCGTGGACCTAAAATTCCAGCTTTTGAAGAAGGTAAAGATGAGATAGATAGTTATCTTAGGAGATTTGAGCGTTATGCTACTGCTCAAAAGTGGAAACCTGATATTTGGGCCACTCATCTTAGTGCGTTATTGAAGGGCAAGGCTCTTGATGTATATGCACTTATGCCGGTTGATAAAGCTCTTGATTATCCAGCTTTGAAAGATGCTCTACTAAAAAGGTATGATATGACTGAAGAAGGATTTAAACGTAGATTTAGAAGTTGTAGACCAGAGCCAGGTGAGACTTTTATACAGTTTTCTGTTAGGTTAGATAGCTATTTTAAGCGTTGGATTGATATGGCACATACAGATACTACTTATATAAGTTTGTATGACTTGATTATACGGGATCAGTTTCTACATATATGTTCGAAGGACTTGTCTTTGTTTTTAAAAGAGAGAATACCAGATTCTTTAGAGAAAATGGTAGCTTTAGCTGATCAGTATCGTGAGGCAAGACAAACAAGTGCTTCCAATCTTATAGATAAAGGTAATCAGTCAAACACATCTTCAGTAAGAAACCAAAGTGGTTCGAAACCAGTTGATTATAGTACAAAGAAAGAACAGAGAAGTATAAAACCAACAGAACGTACTTCATTTGTACCTAATAGGGACAGAAAGTGCTTTAGGTGTGGTAAGAATGGACATATTGCAACGGATTCTAGAGTTAATCTACAAAAGACCAACAGTGGATCGTCAGACGATAGAAAGAATTTTAAAGGTAAAGTATGTAATACCTGTACTATACCTACAGATTCTATAGTAGATGCTATTCCTACTGGTTGTACAAGTACACTTCCGTTGTCTTGTCAGTCAACCGCAAATGTAAGTATGCCTGTAAGTTCAGGTTATGTTGATGGTAAACCAGTCACGGTTTTACGAGATACTGGTTGCAGTGGTATTGTGGTTAAACGTGATATGGTTGGCAATGAGTCATTAACGGGTGGAAAACAGGTATGTATTTTGGCAGATGGAACCAGAGTTGAAGTGCCAATAGCTAGAATTGATATAGATACACCATATTTACAGGGAGAATTTGAAGGATGGTGTATGGCTAATCCTGTGTATGACTTGATAATTGGTAATGTAGAGGACGCTAGAGAACCAGGAAAGCCTGATCCTTTGTGGCAACAAACGGGAGCTGTTGAGACAAGAGAACAGGTAAGAAACAAAAGTAAGCCGTTTGTGCAACTGAAGGTAAAAGATATCATCACAGATGAGGTAAATCCAAATGTAATCAAGAAAGCTCAACTAGAAGATACAACGTTGGATAAAATAAGAAGGTATGTATTAACGGGTGATACAGTTACACGGAAGAATGGAAAAGTAAAGTGGATTTTAAAAAGAGGTATGATATACAGACAGTTTTCGTCGTCAAAACCTGATAGGGTAAGTTGTACTCAGTAGTTCCGAAGTTTCATCGCGAGACAGTGACGAGAGTAGCACATGAGTCGATTATGTCAGGTCACATGGGTACACAGCGTACACTTGATAGAGTATTATCAGCTTTTTATTGGCCAGGTGTTTCGGCGGATGTTAAGCGATTTTGTCAGTCTTGTGGCATATGCCAGCGTACAGTTCCTAAAGGAAAATAGGTAAGGTACCTTTACAGTCTATGCCGTTGATAAATGAGCCGTTTAAACGCGTAGCAGTTGATCTCATTGGACCTCTTTTTCCAAGAACAGACAGAGGTAGTAGATATATACTGACTTTGGTAGATTATGCTACACGTTATCCTGAAGCAATAGCTTTGAAGGATATTGAGACAGAGAGTGTTGCTGAGGCATTAGTAGATATATTTTCTAGAGTAGGAGTTCCACAGGAAATGTTAACTGATATGGGAAGTCAGTTTACATCTAAGCTTATGGCTGAGGTAAGTAGACTCATATCGCTTAGACAGTTAACTACAACTGTTTATCATCCTATGTGTACTGGGTTAGTAGAGAGGTTCAATGGAAGTCTAAAACTGATGTTGAAGAGAATGTGTCATGAACGACCTAAAGATTGGGACAGGTATGTAAATGCATTACTGTTTGCATACAGGGAAGTTCCACAGGAGAGTCTGAAGTTTTCGCCATTTGAGCTCGTGTATGGTAAACAGGTGAGGGGACCTATGGCAATATTAAAGGAGCTATGGACTAAAGAGATAGACGATCCTGAGGTAAAGTCTACATATCAGTACGTGATAGATTTAAGAGAGAGATTAGAAGCTACCTGTGAGCTTGCTCGAAGTAATTTGGCGTCTGCATCAAAGAAGAATAAGGTATATTATGATAAATCGACCAAGCAAAGACATATGAAGGTAGGTGAAAAGGTTCTTGTGCTCTTACCTACGGATAAGAATAAACTGTTGATGCAGTGGAAAGGTCCTTTTACTATTACTGAGAAATGTGGTAAGGTAGACTACAGAATACAGATGAATGGGAAGATTAAAACGTTCCATGCAAACTTATTGAAAAGGTATGTGGAAAGGTGTGACGTAGATGATGATTTAACAGTGGTAAGTTCTGCAGTGATAGATACTGATAGTGACCAAGTGGATGTTTATGATGAGATTCATGAAATACCTTTTACTGATTCAGGTGAGAATGCTAGTCATATTGATGTTAATCCAGACTTGGATGAAAATCAGATATTACAGGTAAAGGAATTGCTGTTTTCATTTCCTGAAGTCTTTACTGATTCTCCAGGATGTACCGATCTTCTGGAGCATGACATTAAATTGTCCAGTGAAACGCCTATAAGGATGAAACCGTATCCTATTCCATATAGTATGTTAGACACAGTAAATGCTGAGGTTAGTAAAATGTTAGACCTTGGAGTTATAGAAGCATCTACGAGTCCTTATGCGTCACCGATCGTCATTGTTAAGAAGAAGGACAATACAAACCGATTTTGTATTGATTTTAGGTCGTTAAATAGCCAGACTTTGTTTGACGCTGAACCGATGGGGAATGCAGAAGAGATGTTTTCTAAGTTAGCAGGACATAAGTACTTTTCACGAATCGATTTATCAAAAGGATATTGGCAGTTACCGTTATCAGAGGATGCCAAACCGAAAACCGCTTTTCAAACACCTAAAGGTTTGTTTCAGTTTCGTAGAATGCCGTTTGGACTGGTTACTGCGCCAGCTTCTTTTTGCAGATTAATGAGAATATTGTTAAAAGGTATGGAGAATATAGATAATTTCATAGATGATATAATCATCTTCACCTTGACATTTGAGCAACATTTAGAGGTACTGGATGAACTTTTGGTCAGACTTAAAAGGGCAAATCTTACAGCTAGACCTACCATAGGTTATGGTAGTCTAGAGTGTTTGGGTCATTTTGTCGGTGATGACAAACTTAAACCTCATCCAGACAAGGTTAAAGCGATAGAAGAAGCTCCACGACCAGTTACAAAGAAACAGGTAAGGTCTTTTCTTGGATTAGTTGGGTTTTACAGGAAGTTTATTCCAAACTTCTCCTGTATTGCACTTCCACTTACTGATCTGACGAAGAAAGGACAGCCTAGTACTGTTGTTTGGGAAAATGCACAGGAGAATGCATTTCAGTCTTTAAGGTGTGCTTTAGTTAGGTTTCCTATATTGAAATTACCAGATTTCACTCAGATTTTTGTTCTGATGACTGATGCATCAGATAGAGGGATTGGGGCAGTACTGATGCAGTATCAAGAGAACTCCAAGATGCCTATTGCATATGCAAGTAGGAAACTTAAGAAGAGTGAAGTGGCTTATTCCACTATTGAAAAAGAGTGTTTAGCCATCGTTTGGGCTGTGCAGAAATTTCAGAGGTATTTATACGGTAGAGAATTTATACTTGAGACTGACCACCAGCCACTTACTTATCTTAATAAGAAGAAAGTAGAGAATGCTAGACTTATGAGGTGGGCATTAGCTCTACAGCCTTACAGATTTAGAATTGTAGCAGTTAAAGGTATAGATAATGTGGGTGCAGATTATCTCAGTAGAGTTTAGGATGTAAATATTACAGTGTTTTGTTTTATAATGAATAGTAAGTAGTGAAGATTTGATAGTGTTAGTTTTATTTTGTTGAACAGTCTAAATATCACAGGACTAGATTTGAAATGGTGACAAACCGTGATGTTGTGGGCAGGATATGTCGTGACATAACACTTTGAATAGGTTTAAGTTATGAGGCGATAAGACATGATAATGATCCTTATTCATCTTTTAGGTGAGTATATGTCGATTTGTTGTAAGGGTCGGTTGGTATTTTATTTGGACCTGGTCAAGAGTCGAGTACTGTCCGGTAGTGTCGTTAGTATGATTAGTTTGTCTTTTGATTTGGACTAGTTTATTTGCATTGATGGGTTTTTGTATGTAAATCTATTTCTGTTTATATATATTTTTTATTATCAGTACTTCGTACTTCTTTTTGTGGGGAGGAACTGTCACAGGGTGACTTTGTTTACTCACATATATGTTGTTATTTTGGTTGTTAATTCTATTTCGATTTGCAGAACGTCAGTATCTTATAAATGCTATATTCTGCAGACTTCGGTGTATAATACATGTCCACATTTTACATCTAATTAATTAAGTAGTGTCCACTATTTACTTGGGCATTTACCTGTAAACTTGTCGAACGGGTTGAGTAACAGTGATACCTGTATTTGATGAGCTGACTATTCACTCTCGGGTAACACCTTAACGAGTCAAGGTGTGGTCAGAAATGTTTGTATAAAGTTAGTTTACAATGTGGCGTGGACACACACACTGGATTTCTGAGGTAGGATTCAATTTATTCTTATTTATTTAATCATTATTCGTTCTAAAGTGTTCAGTTTTCTGCAACAACGCAAATATAGAAATATTATTTCAATTGTAATTGTAATTTTTGACATTGCTATTTTATAAATGTAATAAGTTAATTAATGTTCATTATAATGAAAGTTTAACACGGTTATATGTTTCCGGCTGTAGTAAATATTCGAGTATCGAAATTGTTTGGTATTTTAGGAACGTTTGCGTACGATAATGCAATGATGTATGTATCTCCATAAGTATGATTGATTGATTGTTGGTTGCTTAACGTCCAGTGGCAACTATTTCATGCATATTCAGGACGAGAACAAGTTCACAATAAATACAATAGGTAGATTCTGTAAAAGAGGCGTCCGGGATTAAGGTCGGAGAAATTTAGACTGCCACGGGAAATGAGGGTATATTGGATAGGGACAGAAATTTAGCCTTGCAACAGGTCACCTACGGACCCCTCAAAGAGTTGTTGCAAGGGTTCTTAACGTGCAAAGAGCATGGCACTCTCTTTACACGAGGCATCGGATTTAACGTCCCCATTCTGACCGGACGTGGCTGCAAATTTGTACATCCCGCACAGCCAAACGGACGCCCCACTTTAGCACGGGTTTTACTGCCGGTCGGAGGAAGACCAATGGTGACCATACTTCTATACCCCAGTCACCCTTGGGGTTTCCATAAGTATGTAAAGTAATATGCAACGTATAAGCATAAATGTATATTCAGCGTTAAAAGCTGTATATTGTGTGTAGTAATTGTATAATGATAGTATACAATAAAGTCAATTATGTGACTTGTAAAGTAAGGCATTGTACGATATGCCGTAGTTTGTATTGTGTAAAGTAAGGCATTATACGATATGCCGTAATTATTTGTGTATAAGTAATGCATTATTCAATATGCTATAATCTTCTATAGATTGAACATAAGTAGTCGTACTAAGTATTTGTCATTATTTATGCGACATGTGTAATACATAAACATATGTATATTTCTTAAGTATAGTATTGTATCTTAACGTACAGTATGTATTTCAATAGGTCCCAGTTTGCGGGCTAGGTGTATGTAGTTTTGTATAGTAAAGTATGGAGATATAGTACAGATGGTGGTGAAACATGTTGACAGTGCGGCGTTCCGTGTTTATCATCAATAGTTTGGCAACATAGAATATTTGGAGTCGAGTCTAGACAATAGGGCAGCCGTAATGTGTACACCGCTTATGTTGGGCCAGTTTTGTGTAGTTACCGAAAACCAAATACGTAAAATTCCGTAGTATCGTTTATCCAGATTTCATAGTTTAATATAAAGAAGAAGGAACAGTTCATTAAACATTTGACAGTATTATTTCATTTGATTTCATCTATTTATATTTGTAAATTTGTACCTAATTAAATTGTTATTTTGTTTAAAGTAGTAGTCATTTATTATCTGTAAGTACAAACTCCTAAGTCAGCTCTCGTCTATCCGTGACATACGACAGTTACATCTTAATGATAGTATGTGGGTTAGGTATCATAATATCTATAAAATAGTAGGCGGAGTATGGTCGACACTTACAATAGTAATAAATTGCTTCGCTGAGCGCAGCCTGATAAGACTGCAGAGGTCCAACCCTGAACAGTTGGGGCAAATTTAGACACAATATTAAAGCTTGATACTGTCTGAATTTAAATTGTGATCAAATTTTAGACATAATATAGGTTTCTGACACACAAAAAAAATCTTACAAATCTATTGCGCAATACTGTGCAATTCAAAGTTTCTTCTTGAAACTTTAAAAAAAAAAATTGAAATTGTTTTAAACATAAATATGAACCCCTTAAAACATTTGGAAAACAAATCCCCTCACAACTTTTTAAATCCTTCCTTGGAGCAATTGCCCCCAAACACAATCCAAGCCTTTGTAGTATGGAACCTTGTAGTACAATTTAAAAGAGATCCATTCACCTAAACGCAAGTTATTGTCTGGAAACTAGAAAAATCCTTCTTTTTTGCCCCTTATTTCTGCATGATTGGGGCAATTACTCCCAAACTCAATCCCAGACTTCTTTTTGTGATATGGAACCTGTGGTACAATGTCAGAGAGATCCATACACTCACACACAAGTTATAGTCCGGAAACTACAAACATGCTTGTTTCTGGCCCTTAATCCCCAAACTGTTGGCACCATAACCCCCAAAATGAATCCCAACCTTCTACTTGTGGTATTAAACATTGTGGTACAATTTCAGAGCAATCAAAATACTAATACACAAGTTATTATCCTGAAACTAGAAAAATTCTTGTTTTGGGCCCCCAATTCCTAAACGGTTGAGATAATCATCCCCAAAATCAATCCCAACCTTTATTTTGTGGCATTGAACCTTCTTTAAAAATTTCATAGAGATCCATTTACTTAAACTAAAGTTATTGTCCGGAAACAAAATGTGTCTTCGGACGACGACATCATACCGTTAAACGATCCCAAATTTTTTTTTGCGGTCGTATAAAATCTAAATAAACCATTAACTTACATAAGTTAAACAATGATTCTGTTTATGGACATGGTACTACCGTCTTTTCATAGATACCAGTATGACTTCGCACCCATAGAAATTAATTTCTTTATTTTGAATTAAAAAAAATATCCTTACGTAAAGAAGTATTAGAATGAAAGTTTTTTTTATATTTGTGTATTGCTAGAAGACATACTAGCCTAGATATCTAATTCATTTGAGTTCAAACGATTTTTTTAATTTGTTTTATAATCATATCTATTTGGGTTTGATTTTACATTTCCATTTTCTTTCTGCGTCTTGGTTAGCTTTCTTATTTTTACATTATTTGTTAAAAGCGTTTGTGGTCCTGATTATCACACTAATTACAAAAAGATGTATGTTTATATAGTATCAATTATATTTCACAATTTTGTTTATAAATGGCACATTATACTTGACATCTAATGTGACGTGTGGCTTATTTTATGAAATATGAATTGATGTTCTACACCATGTAGTAGATGAGCACGAGTTTTCATACAGCACTAGTAACACATGTGAACATGTACCTTTGTCAACAGAAAGGGATAAAGGATGGATAAAGAAAGATTCACCAGTACATTGTTCATCGATATATACAGTCTAGAACATAAGACTGATCAACAACATTCCACACTAAACTTACTGCAGGTATTAACAATCCAACTGTGTCATTATATTATTTAAATAATTAAAAGGTTGATTTAAAGAGGCAGAAGGAAACATATAATTTAATACAAACTTCTGATTTGCTTTTAACAGAACATTTTAATAGGTTCTTTTCTTCATTAACATGTAGTTGCAGTAGATTCATACATTCTTGCATTTATTTAGCAAATTTTTTTTTCAATATTATTTATCAGCTTTCTCTTATTTAAATTTACGAATCAATATTAGTTCTAATACTGAATGTATTATGCTTTTATGGTTAAGACATTTCTTTTCGAAACCAAAATTCTATTTTTTTGTAATCCTATGTATTTTCCAGGTATCAAGAGGGTTTCAGAAAAAAACAGCCGCTAGTCGGCAACACCATGCAAAACAAATAAAGAATTTACCTATATACCTGAGGTTATTGAAAACGTGTTAAAGGGACTTGCAGGTGAATTTGTGTACATCGAGAGTTGTGCTTGAAGTTTATGACCCCAGGAGATTGTCAGCACACTTTGCAGCAATTCCATCACCAAAAACGCAGCAGGGTATTTTGTCACAGCGGTCACAATTTACTGTAGACAGGTCAAACAGAACCAATGATGATATTGAGAGGAAAGTCCATTACAAGGTATAAAAGTATTTCGTCTACTAGTAAGTATAACATAATTGTGCAGCTACCTCTCAAGAATGTTCATGCAGAGAACAATTGTCAATGCGGAGGACATTTTATAAATAGGACTTGTTGGACCTCTTCGCGTGGACTAGTTCAAATAATTATTTAAATTCACATACATGAACAAATTCTTCTTGCAAGTGTTGGTTCAAATCAGATCAGCATGGCTTCTATTACAAGCGGAATCCATCAAGCCGTTTTGTCTGTGTGCATGTCCTGGATTCCATCTAAGGACATCATCAACTAACATCTGTATATTCTCATCTTTCCTCAAAGTGTCGGCGCCTTTTTCAAAGACTTCATCGGTCAACGACAACATCGCCATTCAATCTTTGGCAAACGTCGAAGTGTTCTAGCTTTAACTTATCTAAACGTTCAAATATCGTAGTGTTATCATGTCAAGTGAAAAGTCTGACACCTCAGACGATGAAATTTAAGACCAGCTGAAGTTCTGTCAGTAAATTTGAAACATTGAGATTGACTGTCGATCAACTAGTCGAGCAACTAGACATTGACGTCACATGACGATTCTAATACCCATCAAACAAATCATGTAGATTTTGACTATGAAAGTGATTCAAGATAAGACATTTCAATATATAAACTAGGCAGCACTAGATCAAAGAACACACATCAATCCAAGTTGCAGTAGAGCTAGTACACACATAATGTCGAATAAAAGTTGTGTGTTCAATTGTCTCTGATTGTCATACGGTACTTGTACACCACGCACATACAAACGACACTCCACTAACAGCAAGAATTTTAACTGCCGATCGGAAGAAATACAACGTTGCTCATCATTTAATTATTATTTCATTATGGTTGACCAATGACCACACATCGACATCTACTAAACTCCTCTATCTTCGTTCTTCAGAATAGAAAACGTCTCCAAAACGCCAGCAAATCGGCCACTCTCAGAGGTCTTTTATAAGGAGGTCGCGGCATACGGACTTGAAAACAATTTGTGATTGCATATTGATTGCTTTTCTAGCTTTTGTATGTACATAGATACATTATCTTTTGTCTTTAATAAAAGGAAATGTTCATATTCATTTTTCAGGGTCGGTCTTAAGAACCTGTGTTAAGTGGAAGTAAAGGTGTATAACAAGACAGCCAGTCTCACGTAGTAGGATAACTGGTCCTTTTTATCAACAATACAATGAATAATATTGGCACATTGTCATTGAGATGTGTCATGAATAGTATCAAACAAGATTTCAAAAGAATGTCTGGACAGTATTAGAATCAGAAGAAGTCCAGATCCATATAAAAATGTTTCTGTGGATCATTATGATCTAACAAAATCTCTGAACATTCCTCTTTTCGAATAATGGAGAAGATTCTGAAAATCGGTTATTTTTTTTTCTAAAAAAAAGTTGTAATTACGATTTATCAAGGTTGGCAAAAAAGCGGTCAATTCTAGTATTGACCATGCCAGCGGTAAATACTGGCATTTACTGGCAAATACTGGTCGATTGCAATCTTGGATGAACTTTACTTTATAAAACCCCCGTCTACCTGTGCAATTGCTGTCAGTAATGAAATAATGAAAGTGTTAGTTATTTAAATATCCTTATTTCTATTTCTTTTGTAAATTCATAGTAAACAGTGATTTACAATGACTTATTATTCCAAAAATTATAACAGATTTGTCTCTGCCAAGGGAACTCATTAGATGACTTTTGCACGGACTATAGCATTGCAATCATTATTTTGCACTGGTCCTGGTGTCTTCTAAAATTGTATTACAGTTCCAGATATGGTCTTTACTAAAGTTTAGGTTTCACTTCGTAGTTTAAAGTCAAGGTGGTTGTACTATGTGTATGTAAAAATTTATTACACCACATTATATATTTTTTCATTTACACCATAAATTATAGAAGCCATAACAGTAAATGTTCTTCATGCCTTCCATTTCCTGCAGGAAAATGATTTTTGTCTCACAGTTGAACAGACAGGAAACATTTTATTGTTTAAGATAATTTTCAAATATCCCTTTTATTACTTTCAACCCATGTTTTGTCATCATTTATTGGGGGCTGTTGTTTTGGTAATTAAATTATTACACCTAGCAATGCCAGGTGATAGGTAAAATGACACCTGTAACTTTATTAACCTTTTTTATTTTCCTGGAAACATTATTTCAATAGAAATAATATCTGAATTTATAAATGTTGATATGATTTTAATATGTCAATTCTTCATATATTACTTAAGATGCATTATCATAGTTTATAAGGACTAAATTTGAAGGCATATGTGTTGAAGATGAATAAAACATATCAAATCCATTCATTTATATCAGCTGTAACATGCTAAAAGATAACAAAATCAAATATATTTTACTCTTTATCTAGGTTTTACTTCAATAGATAGTAAAAACCTCCATAAAAATTTCAATTGACCAGTATTTGCCAGTATTGACCTTTTGAATAGTATTGACCGGGGCGGTAAATATCACTGGTAAATACCAGGGGCGGTAAATACCGCCCAACCTTGCGATTTATTATATGTTCCAATTTATCCCCTTTGAACGAATGTTTGATATTCAGGTTTACCC